CGCGTTTCATCTGAAGAAAAATGCTGCTGAAGCCACTGAAATGATTTGTGCTGCATATGGAGAGAACGCTGTAAGTCATGCAACATGCAAAAGGTGGTATCAAAAGTTTCGCCAAGGAGATTTCAGTCTTAAAGATGAATCGCGTGCTGGACGCCCTGAAAAGATTGAAACGGACGAATTGCAAGCACTGCTGGATATAAACTCTGCGCAAACTGAAAAGGAGCTTGCAGAACAGCTTGGCGTTACGTTATAATTAATATTTTTTCGTTTGTTTTTAAATAAAGATTGAATTTTACAAAAAAAAGCTCAGAACTTTTTTGTACACCTAATAAATAAATCATTTTTTTTTATTATTCATTTCATTTTCTAATAAAGATTTTTTTTTCATCAAATTGAGGCATTTGATTTGAGGATGTCAAAACCACAAAGCGATATACTTTAGAACTTATAAAAAAAATTTTCTATTCTTAAAAACGTTTTATAATCAAATTAAATGCAATTTTTAAAAACTTTGTAGGAGGCCCCATGAAAATTTCAACTGGATCTTGTTCAGCAAAAAACATACAGTACTACATTTAAAATCTAGTTTAAACCATTTTTGCATCAAATCAAACATGTATTAAGAAAAATCAAAACTTCGATTTGAGAATCGTTCACTAGCGACCTCTAAATCTTAATATTTTTTAAATAAAAATTTATGGTTGTTGTTTTAGCATGAAATGGAAACTTTTGAGCTGAGAGACTGATTAAAGAAAATATATTTTCTTTTTTCCTTATCAGTAATACTGACATATATACCATATTTGTAATAATACGAATTAAATTAAATTGACAAAAGCAATTCTTAATATTGTAATTTGATGCTCAATCAGATATCATATTAAAAAGATGTTAATGTACTGAAAAACTGTAAATAAATTTATTGAAGTTGAATCCGGATCTGTTGTATTCCGTACAACTGTCCTAAGCCTTTAGACTACCGAGGTCTTAGTAATATTCTTCGCAATAATTGGTATATGTATGGAAACGTCTTTTTCAAGCGATGTAATTTGAAAGGAGTCGACTCCCGGCCGAGGTAATATTTTTCGCAATAAATTTATTTACAGTTTTTCAATACATTAACATCTTTCTAATATAATGCTTGATTGAGCATCAAATTATTAAGAATTACTTGTTAATTTAATTTAATTTAATTCGTGATATTATTACAATAGTTTAATTGCGTTTATAAGTCCGGAAAACCATTTCGGTGCGCAGTTCGAATGATTACAAATATGGTATATATGCATATACATATATAGTGTATAGATATATAATTTACATTGAATTAATCAATTATCTAAGCATTAACCCAGCTTCAACCGGTATATGCTTCTAAAATACTGATAATATAATGTACTCAATAAATATATATCCTTTGTTTTTAGTTTTTACGAGTATAATACATTAAAGCTAGCTGATTCTATATTGTTACCATTGATTACTTGAAGTCTTCTTTGCTTCAATCAGAATAGAAAATGTTCTGTAATATTTTATTCGGTTTTTATACATGTATTTGATATTTTGACTTAATTATAAAGCATTCATCTAATTATTTATTAATCTGTATTCTTTAAAAGTTCAAATATTTCTCAAATATCTTATTTAGAAAATATCAGTTCGCAAGTCTCACATTTCGTTAATTTCAAATTGACAATGATAGATTTACTAATATTTATTTAAGATATGATTCTCACTAATACTTTTATTGTCTTAATAAACGGGAACAATCAACATAAAGTGTATATAGAATAGCACGGAGACACTAGAAAGTAGAACAAAATATTATAGGATCAGAACCGCGCCCATACGCTCGGAAAAGGATAGCGAGATGGTCAATAGCGGTAATTCCAACGTTAAACGCTGGTTTTCTTTAATAAATTGAACAACCTACACGATACAAATATTCAATAAAATATTTAGTTGAATAACACGAATATTCATGTCCAATAAATATCCATGAATACTTCTAACTTACTTAATTATTTCGCGACATTCACATGTTGCGTCGAATAAAAAGTAAGTCGTTAAAATTAAAATTACATACGAAATAATATTAAAATAACATTATTTGTTGATTGTCTGTAATCTTATAATTACTGCTCGTTGCAGTTATTGTTCGTTTTAATACGCTTTGTTAGATAAAATAATACTGTTTCAATGTCACACAATGTTCATAATAATTCAAAGTAGGATTTTTCTTACCAACAAATAATAAGATTAATGAATATCTAATTGTTTCTTCACTATCTAATAAAGATATTTGAGTTATGCCGAAAAATCTATTTCCTTTAACTATTATTTTCTCTATATTTATCAAATTAATTTTTATTTTCTTTAATTTATGCATTATATTACAAATTATTATGAAGTTTGTAAATGTCCTTGTAAATACAATCTTTAAAATGTTTATCATAAAAATTTTTGTCCTATATTCTGCCAAATATGTATAAATGTATATGTATCTCAATGATTAAAACTAAATAAAAATAGAAAATATTTCATATTGTCTTTTTAAAAAACATAGAAACAATAAATTTGTTTACTTGCATATATGTGTTAAATTTAACAATGGATAATAACATTAAAATTATGCCGTAATAACAATAGAATGTAGAATTAACAATTCTTTTTAAAGTTAAATGTATATAATTTTAATATCTAAATGTATATTAAAAGCAAAAAAAAAAGAAAAGAAATTACATAATAAACAAAGTAAAGAAAAAAAAACAAGTGTTCTTAGCTATAAACAATTAATTATTATAAAACGTAGGTAAAGAATTAAATTTAAAATTAAGAAAAAAAGTATAAAAGAGAAATGCAGAACTCTAAATAAAATACGAAATGCCGAATAAAAAGATTCATAATCGATTAAAACACAGAAATGTAACAAATTGTCTAATGCATCAAATTTTTCATAAGATCTGTAATGACTCGCATTGACATCTTAATCAAATATCCAGTTTGCTGAGCTTACATCATAAGTGTTTATAATATTTATATCTCATATAAAATATCGTTCTTTCGAATATTATATACATTTATTAAAAAATTGTTTCCTAATTCAAAAAGAAACAAACTTTTGCACAGCATTTACATATTTTCATTTTATTTCAGGAATTAAATTCGAACTTTTTTCATATAAATCTCTCACACCTAACGCTGTAACTCGAGTCAATAGACCATATGATCGAAATTGTGACATCTTCTTTATGATATTCCGCAACAATTAAAAAGATAAGATCAAAGATAGCAAAAAAATAATTTTACATAATCTTAAAAAATTATTTTTAATATTTTATAGCATCTAAAATATCTAATGTTAAATTTAATAAATATTTAATATGTCAGGACCATAAATCAAGACTGAAAAATAGAAACAAAGTTACAAAAGATTGCAGCATAACTAAATAATGAATAACGGAGAAATTCCGAATCTTCTTGCATGTTTTAAATCGCAAATGTAGTGTATCAGAATTCAAAAATAATAAAAGTATATCAGAAATCAAACTTATTCGGAAAAAAATTAACAAAATCACGATTTTATCCACATATTTTATATTCTCTAAGGGTCAACGCATTTATTGCAAAAATGATCTCGACTTACTTTCATGATCTCGCTTGGAACAGGTCTCTCTCTTACCAAAGAAACTCACCCCGTCGCGGAACCTCTCTCTCTCTCCCCCTCTCTTTCTTTCTCTCTCTTTTTCTCTCTTTTTTTCTTTTTCTATCTATCTCTCTTTTGAGATGAGATATTTGTGCGATATTCGCACTCTCACGCGGTTGTCACGATTTCCGACCACGACACGCCTACTAGTCGCGAGAACGATGGATGATGAGATGCACGGCACGTAATAATGCGATTCGACAGTTGTCACAGTCTCCAACGGCAAACACGACCCTAACATATCAAATGAGATACTCAGTGGTGCGACGACGACGCATCGAGCGGCGGCGGTAGTGGCGGCGGCAGCAGCTACGGCGGCGGTGGCGGCGACGGCAGCAGTAACGGCGGCGGCGGCAGCAATAGTAGCAATGGAGCCGACGGCAATGGCAGCAATAATAGCGATATCTTGCGCACGCTCATAACTATATATAGTATATACTACCACAAAGCAATAATTAACTTCAATATATTTATGTTACCCTTAATAAAAGAAGCTGTTCACTCCTTTGCACGTATGTAGAAGAATATCTACAAGCACTTAAACTCAATAATCCCACTAAGGATACCTAAGTAGCACAGCAGCGCTTGCAAAGCGCTAAAAAAGCGATTATATGCGCTTTTTTAGTGTTTTATTAATGCTTTGTAAGAGCTGTGTGTTATATGGATAAATTTTATCAATAATAGACACCGCGAGAAAGATGGCTATCCTAATGAAAATCGTAATTTCTGCTCTTCTATTATTTATTGAGTTTTGCATTGCTCGAAGATTAATCTTCAAATGTCACATGCATCCGTCCTCACTTATCAAATGTTATCGCTATGTGACAAGAGTACACCTTCCACCTCTAGAGGGTATCACCCTCTTAAAAGCTAACTGATTCACGTGGTAATATTGCTGCAGCGTTATTGAAATGTTTCAAGACGTTTCTTGTTTACTGAGCAATTATTTGTAAAATGTCATTAAATGAACAGGAATGATTCAAATAATTAAGTGCTCTTAACAGCCAATTGTAGAAATTATCAATAGCTATTTGGACATTGACGATTGTTCTATCGTTCTATGAATAATTGGTTTAACTAATGACTTTTTACAAATAATTGCAAGCAATATAAATAAATAAACGACTTAAATAAGTTTCAGTATGCAACTTATTCGCTGAGCAATTTCTTACTTATGGATCTATAAAAAAAGCCAATTGCTCAATGAGTAGGTTGCATACCGAAATCCATTTTTAAAAAATGTTGAAATCTTTTAATCCATAAGTATATACTAGTTCAGAAAATAGGTTTCTTGCACTAGTGCAGAATTAATTCAGAACTTTTTGAGAAAGAATAAATCTAATAACGTTACTGAAGCCATTGAAGATTTATTACTGCATTATTGCTACTTGCTACTAACTGTGCAATTTCCGTATATACATAAAGTTTTTGTAAATAAAGGGTGTCCCAAAATTAACGCAAGATTTGAATTTGCCGCCATTTGTGCAGTAAAGTGTTGGCAACCAAAAAAAAAAACAATTTAACAGCTGACAGTTTAGGGTTAATGAAAATGAGTTCGTTGAATGGATTATTGAATCATCAACAAATGGATGCTGATTTTTCGAGCAAAATCATCCTAAGCGATAAAGCACATTTTTACCTTGATGGCTTTGTTAATCGCCAAAATTGCCCCCTAGATCGTGTGATTTAACATCATTAGATTTCTTTTTATGGGGTTATTTGAAATCACAGGTCTATGTCAACAAGCCCACAACCACCCGTGCATTAAAGGAGGAGATTCAACGCTGCATCAACGAAATTCAGCCACATTTATGCAAAATGGTCATGGAAAATTTCGACAAACGAGTGCGTATGTGCATGCAAAGCCGTGGAGGCCATTTGCCCGATGTGTTATTCCACAAATAACCCTATCCTATGTACTTTATGATTCAGTAAAAAAATAACAATCAAAAGACTAAAAACTGTGTTTTCTATTTAATTCAAATCTTGCGTTAATTTTGGGACACCCTTTATAATAAAATTAAAATTAAAAATTTATTATTTAGTATTTCTTGTTGTCTCATTATTTTTCATTTGTTTTGTTTACTTGTGTATTTGTAATTTGCTTTTCGCAGCATTTGTGATTCCTTCTTTTGTATATTAGAGAATACGCGCTACTATTTTGTTGCCTTCTTTCTATTCATATTTCTTCCAAAACTTATGAAAAGGTCTACCGTCGTGACTCATTTTTTATATTATTTAATTAAATAATTTTTGGGAGAAATGTAATTTGTATGCGTTTATTGTAGCGTTTTAGGAATGCCAAGTTTGATAGTTTCTTGGTTAGGGAAAACCTGAGTTTGCTAAAAGTGTTTACTTTAGCAAGGATATTCTCCCCGTAGAAGTATTTGATAATATTCTTGAGGCACGGGTGCTTTCTATATAAAAGTTATGTGTTTCGCGGGTTTCCTCCGTGTCCAGATCCATTCTTGAAATACCAACGTTTCGTGAAGAAACTTGGCATTCCTAAAACGCTGCAGAGATAATAACATCATCCCAAAGTTCCTACAATTCAAAAACCACCTAGAAACTCACAAATCCAAAAACATCCTTCATAAAACTAGCCTCATCCTCATTAAAGAACGCATCCATTTCACTAAGTCACAAATAGCTCAGATCTCATAAAACCTTTAAATTCCATCTGTTCTTATCCGCCACGTTGCGGCATGATATCTAGCAAACCCTAGATCGTATTATATACGAACAAGCCATGAAGACACACACACACACAATCTTCTGAAAGACGGAAACAGAAATACATAAACCTTATCTCTCACAAAAATCCACAACCCTTTCTACTTAACGTCAAGAACCTATCCAACAGACTTGTCTCAAGACACTATATCTGCGCTTGCCAAAAGCCCTAACTTCGCAGTGGCACCAGAAAGATTCCAAAGGAAAAAATTATCAACCAAATAGAGTCAACTATCTACCGACTCCCATCAGAACAAGCAGATAATATCCGCAGACAGGTAACCAATATCCTTTCCAAAGCCAAACCCCCTCCACCAAACATCACTAGACAAAAGTGATTGGCACTCCAAGGGACACAGACATCATCGTGCTTCCAGC